GAAATGGCCATCCAGTGCTTTCTGCATTCTGTTGAGGTTTCTAGACTCAATGAATTATTTAATTATGATATATATATATATATATATATATATATATATATATATATATATATATATATATTGTGTGTGTGTATTTAGGGCAGCATCTTTTTCATTCATACATTTCATTAAATAATATAGACAAGTGTTGTCTATTTATTTTATGTAAAATTTTTCGTAACTTGATAATTTTAATAACATTATCGTTGAACGAAGAAAGAAATTCACAATATTGATCCATATTTTTTAATACAATCTAAACTTTCGGCTTACATAAGCCATTATCAAAGATGTCAATTACAACATATTAAGCAATATACGGACAAGACAGTGATGATAGTCTGTCATTGTTTATCGTTGCTTAGAAATCATCTATATTATTTCATGAAACGTATATATATATATATATATATATATATATATATATATATTATAAATTAATTGATTTAAAATATGTTTTTTCCGCTACACAGTTCTAACCATTTTTCAAAAATGGAAGCTAAAAGCAACGAATTTAATTTTGCAATTAAATTAAAGACATTAGTTCCATTTCATCCTCAAGCGAATTTTGGAGTAACTTTTAAAATTACTGGGTTTTAAAGACACAGCTAAAATCCCGTTTCCATGGTTACAGATAAATCTACTTCAACTGGACAAGGGGTGTCTGGGTTTTCCTTATGTCTGCATCATTGTATCGGTTATTAGCTAAATTTTGGTAAGGGGTAGGGATGTATTTTTCAATGAGAACTGACATCTGTTGAATGCATGTCGTCTGGATTATTTTTTTTTTTAATTTATTGTTAACGGCAAAAAATTCTTACGGCATTTTTTTTTCTATTTGTAAATTTAAAGATTTTCGGGGTGTTCAGATTAGGATACTTTTAGTTTTTTATTTAACTACGATTTGAAATATTCTCATTTTAATTTTTATTATATATATATATATATATATATATATATATATATATATATATATATATATATATATCAATGCGCACAATGGTTATAACATTAACTTTCTTACCATGAGATCCCAGTACAAATCTCACCATGACTTCTTGATGTTATCAGACTGGAGGAGGTGATCTCAGTATGTGGCACATTTGAAAAGTGCCTGAAAAACCATAACTCGGGTTGATCCAAGCCTTGTGAATGAAATTAGGTAGACAGAACTCTTTGAGAGTCATCGATGGTTGTGCTAGTACGAAGTCATAAGTCATTGTGTCCAAGAGTTTGAGCATGCTGGCTTTGTCCAGACTGACATCCTGCTCTCTCCCACGAGCTGTAACTAAGGTCTGCTCCTTATAGCTGCAGTATAAACCACAGGTGGGTTCTGTGGCTGTTGAACAAAAACAAATGTGCTTGTAACAGGGATTAGCCAGCTGCCCTAGTAGATGGCCAGCCATCCATCAATGTATATTTTTGGAATGGTCTGGTGTTAAACTTGACTCCATCTTTTATAAGCTAAATGCCAAAACTGTTTAATTCACTGAAACATTTCTCTCTCTCTATTTTTGTTTATCCTTTTCTCTCCCACACTCTCTCTCTCTCTCCCTCTCTCTCTCTCTCTCTCTCTCTCAGTCTATCTCTATATAGAGAGTATATATGTATATATGTATACATGGACAATATCAAGATGTCTGCACTTATGTTTATCCAAAAACACTCCAATATATTTACATAATATATACATTGTGCAGACTGTTCCCAAGTTTATTTTGTTGATATTTCAATGTTTCTTAACATAATTCTCAGAAAAACAGTGATAACATTCAATTCATTTTGGTTTTTTTTAATTACATGATGGCTATAAAGTAATGCTCGACAGAAAGATGTGAAAAAATAATTTAAAAACAATAATTAAAAAAACGAAAACTTTACCTATGAATAGAAAATGAATTCATTTAATATACAAAAATAGAAAGGGGTGTAAGACAAGGATGTGTCTTCTTACCAGACTTATAAAGCATATACGAGGAAAAAAATTTACTTGTGTTTAAAGCTCATTAATATTGCCTTAGATTTCTTCATTTATATCTTAATTATTTAATTTCTTTACATTATTCAGACCGTTATCCTCATCTTCATTACCATATTCACAACGTTTCAGTTGTTGTATGCTCCGGTCATCTTCAGGTGATTGGAATTTCAAACCAAACCCATTATTTCATCCACAAAGTCTGTCTGTGGATGACGATATATATATATATATATATATATAGTTGGATTGATGTGAGTTAGCTCTATCACTGATATTGAGCACTTTCCAATATGCACCATGCATATATAATATATAAACAATATATATCAAAACTGCATATATATATATATATATATATATATATATATATATATTTAAGCATTACGCCCCGAGCAAGGCGTGAAGCCACTAGGATGCAGGGGGTTGCAGAAGATTTGGATCAAGAGCAGATAGGAGTGATAGAAGAAAGGATGAGGAGAGGGATAGTGGGTAGATCAAGGTAACTGGAGATGTCGATTGACATTACATTTGAATAGTTGGAGATTATAGCTCTGAGGGAAAACAGTACAAGGGAAGGGTGTTCCAGAGGCGAGAGGTGTGAAGTATGAAGCTATTGGAGTAGAAGAGACGGCTACATTTAAAAGTTTCTACAGTGAAAGGATGAGAGCAGGATGCCAGCCTCATAGGGCGCTTGAATTCATGGAGTCTGGGAACCAGTGAAAGCAGCTCATTGGAGGAATTACCATGAAAGTATTTGTAGAAAAGACAGAGAGAGGCGACGGCGCGTCTGTGAGAGAGTGATTGTAGACGTGATGCCAGATCAGGGACAATTATATTACATATCCGTCTCTGGATCTTGTCAAGAACTCCAAGGTCAACAGAAGGTGCCCTGGACGATATATGGCAGCAATACTCCATGCAAGGGCAAATGGTTGATTTGTATATTTGAAGTAGTGATTCCGGGGAGAAAAATTTCCTAGTGCGGCACAGAGAGCCAAATATATATATACGCATATGCATTTTATATATATATATATATATATATATATAGAAAAAGTTTCAAATTAAAAATTATAATGTTTTATTTTATGAAAGTATTTATTTATTTATATATATATTTGATATTTCAAATTGTCCTCAATTTTTCATCAGAAATAACTGTTTGTTACAAATAAATTAAAATTACTGTTTGTTGGCAAGTAGCGTCCTTCGCGAGACGCGGACGTCACGTGATATGGAACGTCACTGTTCAGATATTCCTAACTTAAATCTAACTGTCATAAATATTTTAAAAAATATTTTTTTACTATATCTAAAGAAATTGCTTAGCTATTGAAATATTTATAAAGATTTAAAACACCTAAGTCCCTATTCAACCCTAATTTATGTGTATTTAATTTTAAAATCCAATATGTTTCTTTTTTTCTGCGTGTGAATGTGGAAGTAAAATCATAACGTAATCTATTATTTATTCTGCAACTTATGTCCTAATAGTGGATATATTGGTGAGTCTGGAAACAATTTTAGATTTCGTTTTAATAACCATAAACAAACAATACGTCAAAACAACCCTTATTCCCCATAGCTAAACACTACAATCAATCAGGACACACATTAGAAAACTGCAAATGTTTATTAATAGATTCCGATTTTACTTCCACATTCACACGCAGAAAAAAAAAACATATTGGATTTTAAAATTAAATACACATAAATTAGGGTTGAATAGGGACTTAGGTGTTTTAAATCTTTATAAATATTTCAATAGCTAAGCAATTTCTTTAGATATAGTAAAAAAATATTTTTTAAAATATTTATGACAGTTAGATTTAAGTTAGGAATATCTGAACAGTGACGTTCCATATCACGACGTCCGCGTCTGCGAAGGACGCTACTTTGCCAACAAACAGTAATTTTAATTTATTTGTAACAAACAGTTATTTCTGATGAAAAATTGAGGACAATTTGAAATATCAAATATATATATAAATAAATAAATACTTTCAAAAATAAAACATTATAATTTTTAATTTGAAACTTTTTCTATATATACATATTAAGAAAGTATACGTGGCTTCTCATTATGCTATATATATATATATATATATATGTATATATATATATATATATATATATAAAAAGAGAGAGAGAGAGATTTAAGCAGAGGTTATCTATCTTTATATATTCAGATATATTTATGTATAATTATGTAGAATCACTTTTATAAATTTATTTATAAATATATACAGGCCCCAATGGATAAATTACGAATAAATTAAAATAACACTGACATTTCATTTTAACAGATATATCTTGAAAAAAAATCTTTAGTTACTAAACAGTAAATTTATTCAATAAAATCGCCATTGCCTTCAGCCACTGCCTCCAGATGACTTCAGAAACACTTGCATCTCTTCAAGATGGTCTCCTTGTTTAATTGTCGAATGCCACCATAATGCTTGTGTTCAACATAATATTTGAAGGGATTGCAGTCAGAGGTGGCCAGATGCAAAAATGATGTGGTCACAGAAATTGTTTGACAGCCATTGTTTGCAGCAAGGGGAAGAGTCCCTTTACTATACATAAGGGCTTGTAGCAGCCACCCACTTGACCTAGGGTAGTTTTACTTCCTTAAGTCACTTGATGTAGACCTCCATGTTGAGTCTGAGACCCTGTGAGAAGATGAATGGAGGGCATAACATCGCCATCACTAGTGATCACTCCAAACAAGATTGAGACCCAAATATTCGGAAATGTTCATACCAGGGCTTCCGGTGTAAATACAAATTTCTAGCAGAGTGAATTGCATCATGGTGTTGTTTTTCTCAGAGTTGGTGCCCATCTGACCCTACTATATTTTATTGTCAATAAAAATCAAAGACAAACAATGCACATGCACAAAATTAAAAATATAAAACGGCAATAATTTACCCATCACACTCTGTAGATACATAAATGTACATACATGGATATATATATATCAGTATATAGATTTGAACAGATTGGAATAGATAGATAGATAGATAGATAGATAGATAGATAGATAGATAGATAGATAGAAATGAAAAGATATATATACATCAGGGCATAGATACATAGTAGATATGAACAGATTGAGATAGATATGAAAAGACTGAGATAGATAGATAGATAGATAGATAGATAGATAGATAGATAGATAGATAGAAATGAAAAGATATATATATCTGGGCATAGATAGATAGATAGATATGAACAGATTGAGATAGATATGAAAAGACTGAGATAGATAGATAGATAGATAGATAGATAGATAATAGATAGATAGATAGATAGATATGAACAGATTGAGATAGATATATAGATAGATATTAACAGAATGAGATAGAAAGGTAGTGAGATAGATAGATATGAACAGATTGAAATAGATATTATGAACAAACTGAGATAGATAGATAGATAGATAGATATGAACAGATTGAGATATATATATATATATATATATATATTGTGAATCCATTATCCTCAAGATGAAATGAAGGAATAAATGACGTTTGATGGCATCTGTTCTTTTCCATTCATTCATCATGTTTCTGTAAATAACAAAGACATTAAGAAAAATAAACTTTGCTAGTCTTTCCTCAAGTGGTAACGCAAATGTAGAAATGGTCAACAGCAACCTTACATCTCTCACCCGCACATAAGGTTATTTTCAAGTGAGTATTGTTTATATATATATATATATATATATATATATATATATATATATATATATATATATATATATATTAGAGTGATGTCTGGTATATCTAAATACAATAGCAATTTGCAAAGGTATCTTTTTATTCAGGTACAAAACCAATTTCACATTCATTCATATATATATATATATATATATATATATATATATATATATATATATATATATATATATATTAATTTAAAAAGAAAAAGAAACCACTTTAAAGCTCCTTTTGTAATAATTTTATTTCCCCAGAATTTTATTTTTCTCTGGATTTTCTGATTTCATTTTCAAAAGGAGAAACGAAAAATGATTTTAAAATTTACACTTTCGACGGGTAATATATAATTTGATATTGAAGGTGGTGAGGAATAGTGTGAGGGACATGGTTGAGTTTAGAGAGGGAAGGGTGAGTTTTAAAATTTATTTTTATTTTTATTACAATACTTAATATTGAGGAGGAAGGGGTAGGATCAGACACTGACCTATTTAATCGATCAACTCAACGGTAGTGATATGGGAAAAGGAAAAAATATCAACCTCCTTGGGATTATCCATACAGATTACCAAAATTTTCATTACTTAAATATATATATATATATATATATATATATATATGTGTGTGTGTGTGTGTGTGTGTGTGTGTGTGTGTGTGTGTGTGTGGTTTGCTGAAATCGTTCTAGGCCTGACCAGAAATTGATTCAAAATAAAATTATCTAGTTTGTTCAGATTTGCTGGAATGTTTCCATGAAGAACATTTCAGCACCCGCTAATGCGTGAATGCATGTTTATAATATTATATACTTATTTTTGCATATAAGGCAACCTTTCGATAAGACAGGGTCAAAAAATATACCAAATTTCCATGAATTTATCTTATACCTGTAGCATAAGATGACTGCTTATTGATTATATAAAGATGATATTATTGGAAATGTTGTTACTTACTGTATCATTAGAAATTCATGAAATAAATGAAATAAAAAAAAACAATTCTATATCGTGTTTTTTCTACACACGTCCCCTGAAATCGAAACCATCCTTTCGTTTACTTTTCATTATGTAAACTCTTGCAAATACTGATACTTCTTCTTCTTCCTCCTCTTTTCCTATATCGAAACAATTACAAACAGCCTGGTGTACTAATGGCCATTTACTTATACTTCATCAACAATTTAATGAGAAATGAATATTAAATGTTATTACTGCAATAATTAATACTATCATGAGGATTACTGAAAATTTACCAAAAGATTAAGATGGCTGTGAACCTAATCTTAACTCGATGTTTACATTTTCTCAACTGAGTTTATATGGTTCCAAGTTGATTTCATTGAAATGGAATTATTTTTCGAATTAGCAATTTATTATGAAGTTACACCAACTGGATCTTACCAACATCATTATCCACATGACCCAGTGGATAAAGGCATTGGCTAGATCCAGTGACTAGACCCAAGGAGTTGTGACTTCAATACTAGGCAACAGCAGTGGGGAACCAAAACTTGGAAAGTTGAGTTAAAGGCAAATAACTGAGACATCTGGAAGAGGCATGGCATGTGGAAATAAAGGGTTCAGTTCAAAATTCCGATCATATGAAGAAGGCCGAAGCGTACAGCTGCCAAAACGTTGTGAATAATATCTCACAGATATAGAGACCGAAATGTTGTGAATATGAGGATAAGAGTCTGAATAATGTAAATAATGCAAGTAATCCTAATACCTCATCTCAGAGATATAGAGGCCGAAATGTTGTGAATAAGGCAACGAAGATGAGGTTAAGTGTCTGAATAATGTAAATAACAGAAGTAAATTACATTGCATAATATATTCTAAAAATTCAGAACAACATTATTCAAATATCAAGATATTTAACTAGCTTTTAATGACTGTATAGTACCATTTACCAAAACTGTTTATTCCCTCACAGAACCAATAATCAGAGATTGTCATATGAATTGGAACAAGACTAAAGAAGAAATATCTGGAGAAAATGCTGAAAAACTTCCATTCCTAATGACATAAAGGCTAGCTGCATCTCCTTTGCAGCCTGAGGCTCAGCATTATCATGCAAAATTAAATATTTTCTTCTTTGCCCTGAAGAAGACAATTAATCTTCAAACGAGCCAATTGCTCACTTTTTGTAATGCAGAGTCTGTCCAGGTTCTAGAATTTTGCAACAAAAGATTCTGTTATCAACATGGCCAAGTGGATAAAGATGTTGGTTAGATCCAGTGACTAGACCCAAAAAGTTGTGAGTTCAATAACAGGCCACAGCAGAGGTGAACCAAAACTTGGAAAGTTGAATTAAAGGCAAATAACTGGGACATCTGGGAGAGGCATGGCACGCGGAACTAGAGCCTATGTGTTATTATATAATATTATGTTATCATGTGGTACAATAAAGTATTTTCTTCTTTGCCCTGGAGAAGACAATTAATCTTCAAAAGAGCCAATTGCTCACCTTGTGCAATGCAGAGTCTATCCAGGTTCCAGAAATTTGCAACAAAAGATTGTATTTGGATCTTGCCAAAAACAAAAAAACTCCCCTACCCATCCAGAACATTCCATTTAAGGTGAGATTTTGAAAATTAAATCTAATTACAATTGTCTTTATAACTGATTCTCATAATAAATCCATTTCATATCATTTGTGACACTTTTCTTCAAAATAATTTGTTTGTGTTGAATAAAGATATCTTAAATGTAAACCAGTAGAATTTTTCATAAGTCTTTTACAGTGATGTAAAGCGATTGGCTGTATGTCTGAGAGATACAAAATTGAATTCAAAAATACTTCCATGTCATCACGAAAATTTGAAGTAAAACAACAGAGGTCATTTACTTTTACCTTAAGATTTTCCAAGGAATCACTTTGGGAAACTTACATTATGTTTTTTTTTTTTTATTTTAATGATTGTCTTTCTAAAATAAATCATTGTGTCCTTGCATGAACTTACTATTGACTAATATTTCTTTCATCTTTATTTATCTTGCTTTAACACAATGTGACAATAGTCTTAAGTTAGTTCATTCCTTCTTTTGTTCTTTCTCTTTTCTTTCTTGCTTTTTTTCTTACTTTTTCTTTTCTTTCTTTTTCTGTTTTCTTTCCTTCTTTCTTTCTCTTTCTTTTCTTTCTTTTTTCTTGCTTTCTCTTTTCTTTCTCTTTTCTTTCTTGCTTTTTTCTTAATTTCTCTTTTCTTTCTTTCTTTTTTCTTTCTTGCTTTTTTCTTACTTTTTCTTTTCTTTGTTTTGTCTATTTTCTTTGCTTCTTTCTTGCTCTTTCCTTTCTCTCTTTTTGCTTTCTTTCTTTCTTTCTTTCTTTCTTTCTTTCTTTATGTTTCATGAACTTTCCTCTATTTCATCTTAATTTCTTTTTGTTTCTTCTTCATCACCATTTTCACCTCCTTTTTTTTATATTCCCCTTATCTGCATTTTTTATGCATAAGTTATGTTTCCCAATTTATAATGTTAGCCTTCAATATAAGAAGTGTGTTATTGAAAATAGCAGTCTGGCACAATGGCACCTGACACAAAACTGCATACAAAACAGAGATGGGTCATTAAATCCCTCCACCTACAAATTGCAACTACAAACATTCATCAGCACTTGATGAACATTTACAGAGACTAAACAGTACATTGGAAGCACAGTTTTTGCAGTGGTGATAATTGTTTCGCATTTCCCTTTTCTGGGTTGAAGTTATGCTGTGCTGCCTAAGAGATGAAGCCTTGTCAATTGTTCATTTTTGAGTCTTATTTCTTTCGTCATATTCCTGTTGCTTTTATACTTACTAGTAATAATGTTAAGTTGTATGAATTTCTTAAATGAAGCCTTGTTAATTATTGTTTATTTCTGACTCGTGTTTCTGTCATTAAATTTATCCTGTTTTACACATAACAAATTTGTTTGAATTTCTTAGACGAAACATTCTCAATAATTCCATATTTTTGTCTATTTTTTCTTGGATCATTTTTTTCTTGCTTTTATACTTCATTGAAATGTTAAGTTGTTTGAATTTCTATTTTCAATTATTATTCATTTTTGAATAGTGATACTTTCATCTTATTTCTCTTGCTTTTACGCATCATTTGTAATAGTGTTGTTTGATTTCTTAGATGGAAGCATTGTTTATTATCATTAATTTTTTTATTAGTATTGCTTTTATTTTATCTCTCTTGCTTTTACACTCAGTTGTAATAGTGTTACATTAGAATTTTATAAATGAAGCATCATCAACTCTTATTAATTTAAAAAATAATAATAATAATAATAATATCCAAAGGAGGTCGAGGATTAGTTCAACCACCTGAAGTACATAATACCTCATCTCAGAAATATAGACAGATACTGAAAGGCTGAAACATTGCAATAAATATGGCGACAAAGATGAGGACAATAGTCCGAATAATGTAAATAGTGTACATATTACCTCATCTCAGAAATATAGATAGATACTGAAAGGGCGAAACGTTGTAATAAATATGGCAACAAAGATGAGGACAATAGTCCAAATAATGTAAATAGTGTACATAATACCTCATCACAGAAATATAGACAGATACTGAAAGACCGAAATGTTGTGATAAATATGGTGATAAAAATGAGGACAACAGTCCAAATAATGTAAATAATGTACATAATAATTCATCTCAGAAATATAGATAGATACTGAAAGGCCGAAACGTTGTAATAAATATGGCGACAAAGATGAGGACAATAGTCCGAATAATGTAAATAGTGTACATAATACCTCATCTCAGAAATATAGACAGATACTGAAAGGCAGAAACGTTATAATAAATATGGCAACAAAGATGAGGACAATAGTCCGAATAATGTAAATAGTGTACATAATACCTCATCTCAGAAATATAGACAGATACTGAAAGGCCGAAACGTTGTAATAAATATGGCAACAAAGATGAGGACAATAGTCTGAATAATGTAAATAGTGTACATAATACCTCATCTCAGAAATATAGACAGATACTGAAAGGCCGAAACATTATAATATATATGGCAACAAAGATGAGGACAATAGTCTGAATAATGTAAATAGTGTACATAATACCTCATCTCAGAAATATAGACAGATACTGAAAGGCCGAAACGTTATAATATATATGGCAACAAAGATGAGGACAATAGTCTGAATAATGTAAATAGTGTACATAATACCTCATCTCAGAAATATAGACAGATACTGAAAGGCCGAAACGTTATAATATATATGGCAACAAAGATGAGGACAATAGTCTGAATAATGTAAATAGTGTACATAATACCTCATCTCAGAAATATAGACAGATACTGAAAGTCCGAAACGTTATAATATATATGGCAACAAAGATGAGGACAATAGTCTGAATAATGTAAATAGTGTACATAATACCTCATCTCAGAAATATAGACAGATACTGAAAGGCCGAAACGTTATAATATATATGGCAACAAAGATGAGGACAATAGTCTGAATAATGTAAATAGTGTACATAATACCTTATCTCAGAAATATAGACAGATACTGAAAAAGGCCGAAACGTTATAATATATATGGCAACAAAAGATGAGGACAATAGTCTGAATAATGTAAATAGTGTACATAACACCTCATCTCAGAAATATAGACAGATACTGAAAGGCCGAAACGTTATAATATATATGGCAACAAAGATGAGGACAATAGTCTGAATAATGTAAATAGTGTACATAATACCTCATCTCAGAAATATAGACAGATACTGAAAGGCCGAAACGTTATAATATATATGGCAACAAAGATGAGGACAATAGTCTGAATAATGTAAATAGTGTACATAATACCTCATCTCAGAAATATAGACAGATACTGAAAGGCCGAAACGTTATAATATATATGGCAACAAAGATGAGGACAATAGTCTGAATAATGTAAATAGTGTACATAATACCTCATCTCAGAAATATAGACAGATACTGAAAGGCCGAAACGTTATAATATATATGGCAACAAAGATGAGGACAATAGTCTGAATAATGTAAATAGTGTACATAATACCTCATCTCAGAAATATAGACAGATACTGAAAGGCCGAAACGTTATAATATATATGGCAACAAAGATGAGGACAATAGTCTGAATAATGTAAATAGTGTACATAATACCTCATCTCAGAAATATAGACAGATACTGAAAGGCCGAAACGTTATAATATATATGGCAACAAAGATGAGGACAATAGTCTGAATAATGTAAATAGTGTACATAATACCTCATCTCAGAAATATAGACAGATACCTTTGTTTGAAGTATCATAAATAAATCTATGTGGTTTTTACACCAAATCATAACAGTCTTAGATGAAGCACTGCCAATTATTCTCAATTTTTCTCTATTTTCTGTTGTTCTATTTTTCTTGCTTTTACACTTCATTGTAATCGTGTTAAGTCATTTGAATTTCTTTGATGAAACATTGTCAATTGCTATTAATTCTTGACTTACCCTTGCATGGAGTATTGCTGCCATATATGGTCTGGGGACTCTTCTGTTTGCCTCGGGGGTTCTTGATAAGATCCAGAGAGGGATATGCAATGCTATTGGCCCTGATCTGGCATCTCGTTTGCAGTCGCTCTCTCACAGATGTGCTATCGCCTCTCTCTGTCTTTTTTATAAATACTTTCATGTTAATTGCTCCGATGAGCTGCTTTCGCTGGTTCCCAGGCTTCATGAATTCAAGTGTCCTATGAGGCTGGCATCCGCTCTCACCCTTCCACTGTTGAAACTGTTAAATGTAGCTGTCTCTTCTACTCAAATAGCTTCATATCTCACACATCTTTGCCTGTGGAACTCCCTTCCCTTTTCCTGTTTCCCTGATAGCTATAATCTCCAACTATTCAAATGTAATGTCAATCAACATCTCCAGTTGCCCTGATCTATCCACTATCCTTCTCCTCCTCCTTTCCTCTATCACTCTCGATCCAAATCCTATGTAACCCCTTGCGTGCTAGTGGATTCCAGCCCTGCTTGGGGTGAAATGCTTAAAAAAAAATATCTTGCATGCTTCATCTTTTTGTGCTGTGTCCACTCATGACGTACTCGGTCATGGCTCTCCACAACTTCCTTTCCCTAGTAGCTCCTAATAAACTTTCTCTTTCTGTTATTTCTCCAAAACCTTGTTACGTCATTCATTTACCAAACCCTCTTTCCTCATTATATGCCTCAGAAACACCAACTGTCTCTTCCTGTTGTTAAGTATTAGTTTTTTTTTTACCCATTTTCTCCAAAACTTTCTCATTGCTCACAGGTTTGGTCTTCAGCATCATTTTGTAGAACCATGTTTCTATTACTTTAAGTCTCGTCTTTGTCTTTGAGAAGATCATACAGCAATCACTGACATACAGGCAGACAGATATCGCATGCCAGTTTAGGACTCTTCTCCCTGTTTCTAGCAGAATTTTCCTATTTCTTCATACTCTGCTTAGCTTTTAGAAGGCATCTTTGGCTATCCAAATATGCCTTTGGATCTCACTGTTGCTCTTTCCATCCTTTGTTAAAACACTTCCCAGATATTTAAATTTCCACACTTGTTTGATTTTGGTATCTCTGATTTGCAGTTTACTTTTGGTCTCAATCTTTTGCTAACGAACATGCATTCTGTCTTCCTGCAGTTGATGTTTAAACTTTTCTTCTCACTGTCCTTCACTAAATTCTATAGGAGATTTTGTAGCTTTCTTTCCATGCCTGCTATCAACACTGTGTTATCTGCATATCTTATATTGTTAAGATTGTGGTCACCAATAATGAATCTTGGTAGAACTTCCAGTTCTCTCAGAATTGCCCCAGTGTATAGGCGAATAAGTCCTGTGGGTAGACACATCCTTATTTTATACACCTTTCTGCATGGTATCCCTAAAGTTTAGGCAAATCGCCAGTCAGTTATGTGCCATACATGAGACATGATTGGGAGATTATCTATCTTTTGATACATAACTGACAAGGAATATTTTTTCCTGCAGTAAGTTGCCATTTCTTTCTGAGGTAGACCAGTTGCTATACAAAGGTATATAACCTGGTCTGTCCTGCTATTTTCCCATGGCTGAGGGGAGAAGATAATTCATACCTTTCCCAAGGGTATTAGCATATAAGTGAATGTAATGGATTCAACTGGAATTTGAACTTGGCTCTCCAATTCCTCAATCCAAGCTTCTATCCATTACTCCACTAGTAGGAAATCTCATTAACTATATTTTTTTTACCTCCACAGATTAAAAATGGTTTTGTTGAAAGAAGAAAGAATGGAGTTCTTTTTCTGGGATATGCTCAACGAAAATCACAGATGCAACACACTTGTTTGAACGCATAAAGAGTGAAGGTGCTAAAATTGATGGCACTGTGGAGTCATTGCATTGAGTTTATGTGAATCTTGCAAAACACGTTAACCTTTGCATCACAAATGACGGAATTCATACCGAAGATGTTATTTGTTAATATGCAATAAAATGTTGCTGAAAATTTCTTTCTTGAAAAGATGCATTTTTGTCTATGTCTCCAGACTTTAAGACACCCTGTATTTTGGTATATCTGCTGAACTCATTTTCTATCCGTATGCATGCTGTTTGCTTCTAGTATACGTTCTTGATTATTCTAATATCTTTCCAAAATATTTCGATTGCTGCTGTTACTAAAGCCACCTTGCAGTAATAATCTTAAATTGTCTGAATTTTATTTCTCTTGCTTTTTATCAAAAATCAGATTTGTGGCCGCTATGATCTGTGAATAATATTTAAGGGAAAATGTACGTGCGTGTGTGTTTATGTGTAGGTTTTCTGATTAATTTCATTTTAAATTCTTGAAATTTAAATTAATTTATGGGGGTGACAATTATTTATTCAGCAAAACAATGTCTTCTTGGATATAAAAGGTAGAAAGAAAAAAATGTATTTGTGTTGTTATATAGACTATGGCACTATCGTCATTACAAGCTCTTTTAAAATTAACATTTATTTATTTTCTGTGGAGGTGGAAATTGAAGAAATAAGATATAAGGTTTATTTTGTTTGGTTTTATTTATGTTTTTATCTAATTTTCTTCCTGTTTTTTTTTCTTTTTTTCTTTGTTTCAACTTGATTTACTTTTTTTTATTCATTTTCTTTGCCTGTAATTTTTGGGTTTAAACTTTTCTTTTTCTTCTCCTTATTCTTTCTCTTGTTTCATTCTCTATTTTATTTTCATTCGTCTTTAATCTCCTCTTGTTTACATCTTTCATCTGATTTTTCTTTTTTTTTTTTCTGTATATTTTCTTCTTTTTTATTTTCTCTTCTTCTTCTAAACTTCTTTTTCTCATAATTATTTTTCTTACTTTCCTGCTTATCCTTCTACTTAATCTTCTTTCCCTGGTTTTTCTTTTTCCTCTATTCCTTCTTCTTTTTTCTTCTCTTTCTTCTCCTTCTTCTTCTTCTTCTTCTTCTTCTTCTTCTCATCCTGCTTCTTTTTCTTTTCCTATATATGTCTGTTCTTCTATTCCTTCTTCTTCTTCTTCTTCTTCTTTTTATTATTATTATTATTATTGTTATTATTATTATTATTATTTTACTTTTTCTTCTCCTTTTTTCCTTCCTCTTCTTCTTCTCCTTTTTTCCTTCCTCTTCTTCTTATTCATAGTGTTTATGCTAACTAGAAATTAAGTGATAGCAAATGTCTTCATTCCTTTAGCTTTGTCTTCTTTTTCTCCTTCTTCTCCTTCTCCTCCTCCTCCTTCTTCTTCTTCCTCCTCTTCTTCTTCTTCTTCTTTTCCTCCTCCTTCTTTTTCTCTTTCTTCCTTTTCTACTCCTCCTCCTTCTTACTAATATTTCTCATCACTTACAATCTTTTTAAATTTATTCTTCATATACTGTTATTATTATTATTATTGCTATTATTATTGCTGTCATTACTTTCACTCATTTACACTTCTTCTTTTTTTTCCTTCATCTTCTTCTTCCTCTTCATCTTCTTTTCCTCCTCCTTCTTCTTCTCCTTCTTTTTCTTCTTCTTTTCCTCCTTCTTCTTCGTTTTCTTTTTTCCTCTCCTTCTTCTTTTCCTCCTTCTTCTTCTTCCTCTTCATCTTCTTTTCCTCCTCCTTCTTCTTCTTCTCCTTTTTCTTCTTCTTTTTCTCCTTCTTCGTTTTCTTTTTTCCTCTCCTTCTTCTTTTCCTCCTTCTTCTTCTTCCTCTTCATCTTCTTTTCCTCCTCCTTCTTCTTCTTCTCCTTTTTCTTCTTCTTTTTCTCCTTCTTCGTTTTCTTTTTTCCTCTCCTTCTTCTTTTCCTCCTTCTTCTTCTTCCTCTTCGTTATCTTTTCCTCCTCCTTCTTCTTCTTCTCCTTTTTCTTCTTCTTTTCCTCCTTCTTCGTTTTCTTCTTTTTTCCTCTCCTTCTTCTTTTCCTCCTTCTTCTTCTTCCTCTTCATCTTCTTTTCCTCCTCCTCCTTCTCCTCCTCCTTTTTCTTCTTCTTTTTCTCCTTCTTCTCGTTTTCTTTTTTCCTCTCCTTCTTCCTTTCCTTCTTCTTCGTCTTCCTCTTTTTTCCTCTTCCTTTTCCTCCTCCTACTCCTCTTCTTTTTTTTCCCTACTTCTACCTTTATCACTCTCTTAATTTTTTCCTCCCTCACAATTATTTCCACATCACATTCCAATGTAGATATCATGTTGCCAAATACCATATTCCCCCCACCCGACCTGACTTTCTTTTCTTTTCTTTTCTTTTTTTCTTTTCTTTGATAAGCCTTTTGACTTCTTGCCTCACATTTACCATTTCATTATTGCAAGCATCTTCATCTCCAGATTTCATTCTGCCAATCATTAGGAGGTTGGAGTTTGGCACTGATGGTGGGGGAGGGGAGCAAAAGAGTGGGTGTTTGAGCTAGTATGGGGGTGGGAAGAAACTGATCCTCATTCAAATGATAGACCTTAAAAGGACTTTCTTGTTTAAATCAGACGCATCTGAATAAAAGTAATGAAAGATGTGATGTGGGTGAGGGAGATAATTATTAATTTCCATCGATTAAAATAAAGCAACTAAAATAATAAAAGTAAAAACAGTGTCTTTTTGTTGCATTTTTATTTGATAAATTTTACTTGTAAATTACATCTCTATAAGTACATTAATTTACTTTTTTTATTCATTTGTTTAAATAGTCAATAGTTTTTGAGCTAGGGAGAAGAAGGCTTCCATCAACCTGGCTGTAAATTTGCTTCTGACTAAAGCTCCCTAGTTACTTACTGATAGAATATTTGCCATTGCCATTAGTAACCTAAGAGTCAAATCATACAAAGTTAAGCAGTGCCAAGCCCTGTCAGTACTTAGATAGGAGTCTGCTGTGGAACTCTGGGTACTGAAAGAAACCTTCTACAATCTGAAATATGTTTCAGCTTTAAATAACCAATAAAGAATTTTTCAAAAAGACGTTTTCTCCATCTGCAGCAGAATTCACACCTCACACAACATCTAACCCTGACAAGCATTTCAACATGAAACACTGGAGTTGGTTCATCTGATAAGTCCACAAAACATTTGATTTATCGAATATATATATATATGTGGAAGATGCAACAAACACATCAGAGAATTGTTCCATAAAGAAAGCAGAAAAACTGCAATGCACAAAAAATATGGGAGGACCAAAAATATTAAAATCTGAAGTGAAATCAACACTGGCTAAATTAAACAAGAACAAAGCAATAGGACAAGATGGAATTGTAATAAAGATGCTGGTAATGATTTTGTCATTGACTAAAATACAGACATACTAAATGAAATATACAACATACATAATATACAACATAAATAATATGTAACATACATAATATACAACATACATAATATACAATATACATAATATACAGCATAAATGAAATACAGACATAGTAAATGAAATATACAACATAAATAATATGTAACATGCATAATATACAACATACATAATATACAACATATATAATATGCAGCATAAATGAAATACAGACATAATAAATGAAATATACAACACCAATGATTTTTTTTTTTACCGTAAGGTTAACCCAGTGCTAGGCTGTGGAGTCCCTTAATGTAAAGGGTTGCATAAGGGGTATTTTTTATGAATAGGAGGGGAAGATAATAGTTGACTCTAGAGTTGAACAGATTAAGATTGTAATGATCAGGGAGACATCCTTCTGGGAGTCAGTTCTACAGAGCAGTAGTTTGTGGGAAGAAACGGTTTTAGTGGGACTTACTTTTTGCCAATGGAATACAGAGGGAATGTGGGGGGTTTGCTACTATGTAAGTGACATGGTGGGTCCTCGCTGTGAAGGTTAAACCTGGCGGAACCAAGGAATGTAGTTCGTCCAAGCACTTTCCATGGAAATAACGATAGAGAAATCATAGGTTTGCCACATCCCATCTGTGAGAGAGAGCTTGGTGGCCAGAAAATAATTTGTCACCCACAAGGACTCAGAGACACTTTTGAAATTTATCAAGACTAGAAAGTGAGAACTGGGAAGCTTTTGCTCAAATATGGCAACAGTTCTCCATTTTTGACCTGATCTGGTTCTTATGAAGATAGAAGACCTAAGTTGCTTTATTTTTATAGCACTTCTTAAGAAGCCAGGTGCAAATGAATGTAAATTCTATTGAACAATGAGCTTAATGAGCTACATAACAAAACATATGATCTAAATTTTGATGAATAGAGTGCACAACAGAATTTAACCATAAATAGGACAAGAACAGCATGGTTTCACTAAAGACACTGGAACAAGGAATGCAATTTTTATGCTCAGAATGATATCAGAAAGAGCAAATACAAAAGGATGTATACCTGTGTTTTATAGATTATGCAAAAGTGATTGATAAAGTATATCACAAAGAACTATTTGAACTTTTTTTAAGCATTTCACCCCAAGCAAGGTGGGAAGCCACTAGCACGCAAGGGGTTACAGAGAGTTGCATCTAGAGCAAATAGGAGTGATAGAGGAAAGGAAGAAGAGAAGGATAAGGGATAGATCAGGGCATCTGGAGACATCGATTGACATTACATTTGAATAGGAGATTATAGCTATCAGGGAAACAGGAAGAGGGGAGGAAGTTCCACAGATGAGAGGTGCGAGACATGAAGCTATTGGAGTGGAAGACACAGCTACATTTAACTGCTAGGTAAGCTTGATTTATTTGTGAAGGATATTAGAATAATCCATAACTTATACTGGCTGCAAACCACTTTCATACAAATAGAAAAGAAATTCAGTAAATATATAAAAATAGAAAGGGGTATAAGACAAAGATGTGTCTTCTCACCAGACTTATAAAACCTATACAGTGAGGTAATTCTGAGTGACTTAGAAGTCCTAATAGGATTTATTATTGGCAGCCACAATTTTAACAACATAACTTATATAGATGACACAGTGTTGATAGCACACACAGAAAGGAAACTACAAGAACAATAGATAGTAAAGGAAAGTGAGAAGAAAGGAATAAATATCAAAAAGATAGAATACATGGATGTTAGCAAAAGGGTCAGCGCAATGTGCAAATTACAAATTGGAGATGCCAAAATCAAAAATGCATCAATTTAAATATCTGGGAAGTGTTCTAACTGAGAACAGAAAGTGCAGCATTGAATTCCAAAAGATAGCAAAAGATGCCTTCCAAAAGTTAAGCAAAGTATTAAGAAACAGAAAAAAATTATAAAAGGATGTTGAGAATACCATGGAGTGAACATGTGAGCAATGACAAAGTTTTAGAGAAAATAGAAACAAAATAGACACATATACTTAACATAAGAAAGAGACAGTTGAAATTTCTAGAGTCCATAATGAGGAAAGAGGGCTTGGAAAATCTAATACTCACAGGACTGATTGAAGGTAAGCGTGTAAGACGAAATCAATGGATAACCTACTTAGTGAGCTTGTGTAAATGGATGGCAGAACAGGGCTTAGGAAATATAATAAAAAGACAAAATTTCTGTCTATATTTCTGAGATGAGGTATTATGTACATTATTTACATTATTCGGACTATTGTCCTCATCTTTGTCGCCATATTTATTACAACGTTTCGGCCATTGTATGCTTTAATGGATGTTAGTTATCAGTTATCTCTTGTTAATTTTCCCTCTGAAAGTTCTCCACTGCCTTAACTGGCTAAGACAAAATTTATTCGAAGCTACAAATGTCAGAAAACTAATGTGACTTCTGGGCTGACTGGTCTGATAAAGAATTAGAAGTTCTACCAGGATTCATTATTAATGACCACAATCGTAACATCATAAGATATGCAGATAACATTGTATTGATAGCAGACATAGAAAAGAAATGACAAGAACTCATACATAAGTTAGTAAAGGAAAACAAAAAGAAAGGAATAAACATCAATTCTAAAAAAGATAGAATGTATGGATGTCAGCAACTGGAACAGTCCAAGATGAAAACTATGAATTGGAAATACCAAAATCAAGCAAGTACAAAAATTTAAATATCTAGGAAGTGAAATGCATATTGTTACCATATATGTAGTCTGTTACTCTGGCTATATATCCCAAGATTCTCAACTAGATCCAAAGAAGGGTCTGTGATGTTATTGGTCCTGACCTGGCATCTCAACTTCAGTCACTTTCCCACAGCTGGAATATGGCTACACTCTGTCATTTCTATAAATATTTTTGGGGTAGTTGTTGTATTGAACCATTCGCCTTGATGTCAAATTGATTATTACACAGGCTATGTCCAAAGTATGGACACATATGCAAAAAAGCATATTTTCAAGAAATGAAATTTTAAACTAGATATTTACTGAATTTTATTTTTAACAAATAACATCTTCATCATGATTTCCATCATTTTTAATGCAAAGGTTGATGCACTTTGCAAGGTTCACATAAACTCGATGCAATAACTCCATATTGCCGTCACTTTTAGCACTCTTTATGCATTCAATCAAGTGAGTTGCACCTGTGATTTTCATTGAGTACACCTTCTCCTTTACCATACTCCAGAAAAAAGGCGTCAATCCTTTCTTCTTTCAAAAAAACCATGTTTAAACTGTGGAGGTAAAAATATAGTGAATGAGATTTTCTGTGTGTCCAGACATTAGGGACTTCTTGTAGATGCAATTACAGATACAGTGTTTCACAAAAGTTTCGTCTGGCTATCATCAGGTAAAGGCTCATTATTTTACACTTGAAATGGTTAATAATATTCACCTGTGCATTGAATATTGCTGCCATATCTTATCTCATACTCCGGCTGTATATCTCAAGATTCTTGACAAAATCCAAAGAAGGGTCTGTAATATTATTGGTCCTAACCTGGCATCTCAACTTCAGTAACTTTACCACTGCTGGGATGTGGCTTCACTCTGTCTTTTCTATAAATATTTTTTGGGCAGTTATAATGAGTTCTCCTCTTTAGTACCTCAACCACATGAATTTTAGCATACTTCTGGATTGGTAACTAGGTCTCACCATTTTATTGTCAAAATAACAAGATTTAACCATAAAATTTTAGTCTAATAGTTTCTTTTCTTGCACTTCTCACCTGTGGAACTCTCTTCTGCTTTCTCACATCCCTGGTAACTACAATCTTCAAAAATTTAAATAAAGCAATAATCAGCATCTTCTGTCTTCCTGAATACTGTTCTTTTATTGTCTTTTCCCCTCACTAAAGTCTTGTCATTCTCTTTCGCTCCCAGTAATCCCTCATGTCTTAGTGGCATTATCACCTTGCTTGGAGAGAATTAATTAAAAAAGAGTGTTGAGACAGAGGATTGGATATGTGGTACTAATGTAATAGTGAAAGTTGCCTTCCAAAAGATAAGCAAAGTATTAAGAAACAGGAAATTTTTATTAGAAACAAAGAAAAATGTACTGAACTGATATGTAATATTTGTCCTCCTATATGACAGTGAATGCTGAACAATTTCCTCGCAGGTAAAAAGAGACTTGAAACAACAGAAAAGTGGTTCTACAGAAGGATGCTGAGGATACTATGGGCCAAACATGTGAGCAATATCTAAGTTTTAGGGAAAATGGCTGCAAAAATGCCACATATACTTAGAATCAGAAAAAGCAGTTGAAGTTTCTGAGTCAGATAATGAGGAAAGTATGCTTAGTAAATTTAACACTCACAGAACATATTGAAGGAAAGCGAGACAATGGAAACTAGAAGATAACCTAACAATTGAACTTCTGTTAGCAGAGCAGGGATTACCATTTTGAATTTCTATTCTATTTAGTTCATTGTATTTTATTTGCATCTTGTCAGTAAATTCCATAGTTCTACCAGGATTCATCATTGGTGGCCACAATCTTAACAGTATAAGATATGAAGATGACACAGTGCTGATAGCAGACATGGAAAGGAAACTAGAAAACTTCCTAAAGAATGTAGCAAAGGAGAGCAAGAAGAAGGGACTAAGTATAAATGACCAGAAGACAAAATGCATGGTCATCAGCACAAAGATGAGCCCGAAATGAGATTTACAGGTCGGGGACATTAAAATCAATTAGATGCAGAAATTTAAATATTTGAGAAGTGTTCTCACAGAGGACGGTAAGTGTGATGCTGAGATCTGAAGATATACTGGAATGACCAAAGATGCATTCTAAAAACTATGCAAAGTATTATGAGACAGGAGGATTTCATTGGTAACAAAGAAAAGAGTACTGAACTGCTACATGATATCTGTCTTCCTTTACAGCAGTGAATGTTGGGCTGTCTTTTCAAAGACGAAGAAGAGACTCGAAGCAACAGAGGGTATGGTTCTACAGAAGGATGCTGAGAATACCATAGGCTGAACATGTGAGCAAATGGAAGCAAAAATGCCACATATACTTAGAATCAGAAAAATTGAACTTCTGTTAGCAGAGCAGGGATTACCAATTTGAATTTCTATTCCATTTAGTTCATTGTATTTTATTTGCATCTTGTCAGTAAATTCCATAGTTTTGTCTATTGCGGATTTCACTTTTTCTTCTTTATTCCTCTGCCTTGTCTTTTTTTTCTCTGTTTGCTTTATTGCTTCCATTTACCAAAACTCTGAATGACACAACACATAGATGCATGTGGCTAAATACTGGCTCTACCAAGAAACAGAAAAGAAAGGAAACTAATGAGAGGAGGAAAATTATTGCGTAAAGTCAATTGTGCATTTGCAGGTCCAGTCAACAAAACAAATATCAACCCAACCCCATGATTTTCATGACCTTTCAGTAGTTTTTACCTGATCATCTCTGTTTCCTTGTCTGCTATGAGCAGAACAATACCATTGTTTATCGGACTAGAGGACTTGAGGTCATAATGGGTTAAACAAACAATTACTTATTAACAAACCCAACATCTTTTCACTGGTGTTCATGACTGTCCATTCTATTCTTGGGCCTCTGGACACCAGACATCAAACAAAAGGGTCAAAAGTTTGAAAAGAAGATCCATGAAAGTTCAGTATGGTTTTAATAGTCCAATCAGTGAAAATTTAGCCATTGGCAAGGACATGGGGGTAGTTGCCACTGTGAATTGAGTTGACCACTGAAAGATGTTGAAGTGCTTTGTGATGGGAATGAAATATTGGACCCTCCAGTTATTGGTCATCAGTCTGCTACAGATAAATACAGGTATGTAAACAAAATAGCATGAAGAAAAGGTACAGAGAGAGAGAAAGATACAGATAGATAGATAGATAGATAGATAGATAGATAGATAGATAGATAGATAGATAGGAATAGACAGAGATAAATAGGAAGATAGATATGAAGAAATTGAAATAGATAGAGAGAGAGAGAGAGAGAGAGAGAGAGAGAGATGCAATGAGATGCATATAAATAGAATGATAGATAGATAGGAACAGACAGAGATAGATTGAAAGATAGATATGAAGAAATTGAAACAGATAGAGAGATATGAAATGAGATGCATATAAATAGAATGACAGACAGACAGACAGACAGATAGATAGATAGATAGATAGATAGATAGATAGATAGATAGATAAGAACTGAGATAGATAGGAAGCTAGATATGAAGAAATTGAAATAGATAGATAGATAGATAGGAATAGACAGAGATAAGTAGGAAGATAGATATGAAGAAAATGAAATAGATAGATAGAGAGAGAGAGAGATGAACTGAGATGCAGATAGATAGATAGATAGATAAGAAAAGAGATAGAGAGGAAGCTAGATATAAAGAAATTGAAATGGATAGAGAGAGAGAGAGAGAGATGAACTGAAATTCATATAAATAGAATGACAGACAGATAGATAGATTTGTCTATATTTCTGAGATGAGGTATTATGTACAGTATTTACATTAGTCGGACTATTGTCCTCATCTTTGTCGCCATATTTGTCACATGGCACAGTGGATAAAGGCGTTGGTTAGATCCAGTGACAGACCCAAAGAAGGTGAGTTCAATTCCTGGTTAAGGCAGTGGAGAACTTTCAGAGGGAAAATTAGCAGGAGATAACTGATAACTGACATCCATCAAACATGGCACGTGGAATTAGAACAGTCTACCCCAGCGATCGAAATAAAGGGTTCAGTTCGAAATTCCAACCACCTGAAGAAGGCCGGAGCGTACAACGGCCGAAACGTTGTGGCAAATATGGTGACAAAGATGAGGACAATAGTCCGACTAATGTAAATACTGTAGATAGATAGATAGATAAATAGATAGATAGGAACAGACACAGATATAGGAAGATATATAAAGAAAATGAAATAGATAGATACATAGAGAGAGAGAGAGAGAGAGAGAATGGGGGAGAGAGAGAAATGAATAGACTGATATAGATGGATAGGAACAGCCAGATAGGAAAATAGAAATGAAGAAACTTAAGTAGATAGATAGAGAGAGAGAGAGAGAGAGAGAGAGAGAGACAAGCAGACAGAGAGAGAGAATTGAAGTGAAAGAGAAAAAAAGGATAGATAGATATGAATAGACTGAAATTGGGGAATAGATTAGATCCAATAGAATGAATGAATAAAGGAAAGTATAAAGTCTTTACAAATTTTATGTGTTTTGCTACTTATTTAGCTATACATCTTATCATCTTTAGGAGGAAATGAGTCAGAATAATATTTCACTTCCTAAATTCTATACTTGTTTTGTTTCTATTTATAGAATTGAAAAATTGAAACAAGCAGAACATTAACATCAATGTACATCTGATTTATACACAAGCAATAAAAATAAAAACTAACATAGAATTAATTAAAAAGTGAAAATATATCAAGATTTACTTGTTCCTTATTTATATATATATATATATATATATATATATATATATATATATATATATATATATATATATATATATATATATATATATACACACACACATATACACACACACATACACATATACACACACACACACACACACACATATATATATATATATATATATATATATATATATATATATATATATATATATATATATATATATATATTTTATTAAATAATATAGACAAGTGTTGGCTATTTATTTTATGTAAATTCTTTTCGTATCGTCTGATAAGCTTAATAAGATTATCATTAAACGAAGAAAGAAAATCACAATATTGATACATATTTTTTAATCCAAACTAAGCTTTCGGCTTACATAAGCCATTATCAAAGATGCCAATTATTGTACAATATATTAAAACAATAAACAAAAACTAAAAATCCTTGAAGCTATATGCATCAAACAGTTAAAACCCAACCTAAACAAAATCAACTATGGAATCTCTACAAATATCCTTAAATGTCTATAATTCATAACAGAAGGAATTGGTTTATACCGACAGCTTCCCATACTTAATACTTCTCGAATTCACTCTCGCGTGGTCATGTGTGACGTCATGAGCTGTGGTGCAATTTTCGCTTCTGCTTGGAAATCATCCATGTAAACAATAGCAGAATATCATCACTGTCTAGTCCGTATATTGCTTAATATATTGAATAGTAATTGACATCTTTGATAATAGCTTATGTAAAGCTTAGATTGGATTAAAAAATATGGATCAATAATGTGATTTTCCTTCTTCGTTTAATGATAATGTTATTAAGCTTATCAGACATTATGAAAAGAATTTACATAAAATAAACAGACAACATTTGTCTATATTATTTAATAAAACATTTATGAATGAAAAATGCTGCCTAAATACATACAATATATATATATATATATATATATATACACACACACACATATATATATATATATATATATATATATATATATATATATATATATTCATAATAATTTTATAAATATAAGTAATTGTAATTGTCCGGAACAACCTTAGGTGTCTTGGCTTGTAAATGAACAAAAAATAACCAAGGAAAATTAAGGAATGAAAAAAGAAAGAACTAAGAACATGTAATTCAGGCAAAAACAACCAACCAGAATCCAAGGTCAGAGTCCAAAGAAAAAAACCTCCAAAACGAGCAAAGCAAAAATGACTAAGTAAAGTGCTCAATACACTAAGTAGAGCAAATCTAACTATGAACCTAAAGAGCCAGCAAACCTACCTAGGTTTCACCTATGCGGATTCATGTAGGTGAAACCTAGGTAGGTTTGCCTGGTTCTTTAGGTTCATAGCTATATATATATATATATATATATATATATATATATATATATATAGGTAATGAAAAGTTTGGTAATCCATATGGATAATACCAAGGATGATGTAATCCAGAGAGCTCAATGTCAAACCAGAGCGAATATTAATTTAATTAAAATTAGAAAATTTTAAAACAGACAACATTAAAGGGGCCATTGATTATATTTTATTTCCCCAGATCACATTTCCAAGCATAAAAAAAAATGGTTTCAAATTTACATATTATTTTTATACAATTTTGAGGGGTAGTTTTAAGTTGATGTAAGGGGATATAGAGAGGAGGAGGACGATAGATACGGTTGAAATTAGAGAAGAAGCGGAGAGATAGGAATAATTTTAAGTCTATTTTTATTAGATTATTAATAATAATGGATTACTTAAATTTCTATTTGTATGAAATTAATTTTAATTATTGATCTAAAAAAAAACAAACTTGTATATAGATGTTAGTTTAGATATTACCAACAAGTGAAGTAAGGTAAAATAAAATTTGTATCATGGGAAAAATGGTCCTTTTGACACACTGTTTTTTTTAGGGGCGGGGGCACAAAGGTCCATATTTGTTGAATTTCCTTATAAGAAAACATTCAGCATTAATTGACCAAACAGGTTAGCATTACTATCAGTTGACATAATACATCTCAGAAATATAGACAGATACTCATCTCAACAAAGAAATATCCTAGACAGATACTGAAAATATAGACAGATACTGAAACATTTGTAATAAATATGGCAACAAAGATGAGGACAATAGTCCGAATAATGTAAATAGTGTACATAATACCTCATCTCAGAAATATAGACAGATACAGAAAGGCCAAAACATTGTAATAAATATGGCGACAAAGATGAGGACAATAGTCTGAATAATGTAAATAATGTACATAATTCCTCATCTCAGAAATATAGACAGATACTGAAGAAGGCCGAAGTGTACAACGGCCGAAATATTGTGATACATATTGGCAACAAAGATGAGGACATAATCAACTTTGATTTTTCAAAAATTTAAATACAATTTCAATTCTCTGTTTTCTTCATTCCTCTACTTGTATAGTTCTCTCTCCTTAATAACATTTCTCTTTTTTTCCAATTGTTTCATACTCAGTAACCCCTCATGTTTTAGTGGCTTTATTGCCTTGCATCAATTGAAATGATTAAAAAATAAATGTCTAATTTATTAACTAGCTGTTAGCAAATAAGCTTGACTCTAAATGGCTACCTTTTATGACAACTGACTAATACCCTCACCCAACAAACACACCCAAATTTGTTGAAAAACCTTGTAGTCACCAGCTGTGTAAACGTCACTAGTTATTCTGCTTTTCTTCTTCAATTAGCTGTGGTATGCTTGGCTGGGGCTCGATGATTGCTTGGGTGTTATGATGGAAACTTTAGAGATTCTAGTGTGCAGAGGTTAACATGCCGCCTTGCCATCATAATCAGCGCTATATACTCCCACCAACACTGTTTTGCCAACAAGACCAGGTTTGTGGGAGGTCTGTGTAGAGCTGTGTGCCAGCTAGGTAAGTGACACATGACAACAAAAATCTATCAACCATTTGTCATGATTTTTATCCCTTGTACTCCTGGGGTGAAAAGTGGTGGTGAGAGAAGGACTTGCTTGTTGCTGCTGGGTAAGGAGTCAGGTTTGTTAAAAAAAATATAAAATAATGAATATTTCTTTTTTTTTTCCTTCTTTTTATTTATTTGTATTTTCACCATTTTTTTTCCCTTTGTAGTTCATCGGCATATTCTTAAGTTTTCTTTCGTTTTTGTAGGTTTGTTTCATTTTTCTTTCTTTCTTTCTTTCTTTCTTTCTTTCTTTCTTTGTGCCATTTTGAGCAACATCTTTCTATTCAAGAATATTGTTGGTTTTTGGCTAAATCATATAATTCGGATGTAAAGGTGGTGCTTTGGGGGTGAAGCATCACCTGAGCAAGGAAAAGGTTCAAATGAATAATTGACATATAATCTAAATAGTACACACACACACACACACACACACACACACACACACACGCATTCGTCCTGGGTAAGATATTAAACTACATCCACGTCCTGGGTAAGACGATAAACTATGTCCAGCAACAAGGACTCTGAACAGGACGTTTTGAAGAGCATAGAACCACCTCTCAATTGTTGGTGTTTCCAGGTTCACCCTGACTGAGGGTGGTAGCACCTGTTAGGGTCCCAGCTCTGGGCAAATAGTTAACTATTACCAGCAATACTTTTTTGAAAGAAGAATTGACCTTGACCTCTCCAGGGGGAGTCCTGGAACCTCCCCCCCCCACCTCTCAGAAGTACCAACAAATTAAAAAGAAATACAGTATAAATATATGCAGACACATATAAACAGGTACAAAGACACACAAACACACACATATACACAAACAAACATACACATTAGCATACAAAAATATGTATACATTCACAAAAAACACATGCAGACATACAAAAATACACACATCCATGAGTTCAATCCCTGGGCTGGGTGATGTGCACTTGGACTCAGTGGAATCTGTGCAGTACTAAAAATAAAGAACGAGACAAGATATCTCTATACATGTGCAATGGAATGAGAACAGTCCACCCGTGTAAATTAAATAAAGGGTTCAGGTCAGAATTCCATGTAGGTTACCCAAATTGACATACACCTGATAAAGACCAAAGAGCACAACAGCTGAAATGTTGTGATAACAACAACAAAGATGAGGACAATAATCTAAATGTAAATATTAATAACTACTCCTCATCCTAGAAATGAAGACAGACATTTATTCTTCTTTTTTGTTCTTTCTTTCTTCTTCAATGTTCTCTTTCTTTCCTTCCTTTCATTTTCTTCACTATTTTTCTTTTTCTCTTTTTATCATTCCTTTCTTTTTCAATTTTTTCATCCCCCTTTTTTCATTCATTTCTTTCTTTCGCCTTCAATGTCTTTTTTTTCTTTTACTCCTTTTTCATTCCTTCATTTTTCAATATTTTTTTTACTCGCTTTTTGTAATTCCTTTCTTTGACAATGTTTTTCTTTCTTCCCTTATTTCATCTCTTTCTTTTTCTTCAGTGTATTTCTTTTCTTCCCTTTTATTATATATTTCCTTCTTCTTCCCTTATTTTCCTTTTTTTTTTGTTCTTCACTGTTTTTCTTTCATTCTATTTTTCACACATTTTCTCACTTTTGTGCTTATTTTCTTTTTCTCTTATTCTTTGTTTTCCTCTCTTTTTTGCTTTTCTTACATTAATATCTTTGTCCTTTTTCTCCCTTTCCATCTTTTCCTTCTCCTTATTATCTCCTTCTCTCTTTTATTGTCATTCATTTTCTCTTTTTCTTTTCCCTTTCTCCTCATTTTTTCCTTCTCACTTTTATTGTCATTCTTTAATCTCTTTCACTTTTCCACCTGATTATCTTTTTCGTTTTTTACTTTTTTCCCATTTGTGTTGTCAGAATATCTCCCTTGAATCCTAACTGCTACTAAAACTCTCCCTTGATATCGTAATTAGGTGCATTAACATATTTTTGATGGATAGGAATATATAGGAATGGAAATTAAAGACATATCTAATTTGTTTAAATCTAAAAAAAACAAAAACATAAAAAATAGTTAACCAAATTTTCCTCTGTTTTTTTAATTTCTTCTTCAATCATTCCGTCGTTGCTTTTGAAGTCGTATAACTCATTCTAAAGTGCGCATTTCCAAATCTTGATAAGCCTTTTTATATTTTTGATTACCTGTTGTAACATGACAACCTACAATCTTGACAGACACCTAGATTATCAAGACAAAAATCCTATTCCCCGTGGTCCAGCCATAACACCATACCGACTATTAACACCACAAGTGCAAATGAAAAACAAATATTTTTTCTAAAAATGTTTCACATGAATCTTAGGGTTTTTGTTATTTTTTTACATATATATTTTTTTTGAATATTCTGTTAATTTTCTTTCTTGAACCTTACCCCCACCCCTGCCCACGATTGACACTTTCCAGGTTATTGTAATAGGGCAGATGTTACCTTATTAGTTCAATTAAATCTAAGTTAGTGGACTCCAGACCAAATTTTATATTTTGACTTCATTACAAGACTTGCTTTTCTTTCTCATCGTCTTTTTTTTCCACAATACTTTTATTTTTATCAGTCAGTCTTTTCTTTTTCATCTATGCTTTTTCTTCTTCAATTATTCGTCTTGAACTCTACTTCAATTATTTTCCTTTGTGTCTTCAGTTTTTCTTAATTGTTTCCTTAATTCTTCTAGGATTTTATTCAATTCTTCTTCACAGATTCCTAATGAATTCTTCTAGAATTCTTTGATAATTTTTCCAAAATTCTTCTTCATAGATTTTTCTTCAATTCTTCTACATGTCTTCTTCAAAGTTTCTTCTTCACTTCTTCCTTGCAATTTCTTATTCAAATCTTCTTCATAGAATTTTATTCAATTCTTCTTCTAGGATTCTTTTCAGTTCTTCATCACAGTTTCTTATTCAGATATTATTCACAGTTTCTTATTCAATTCTTTTTCAAGGATTCATCTTCAGTTCTTCTTCATTGATTCTTTTTCATGGATTCTTCCTCATGGAGTCTTCTTCAATTCTTCTTCACATTTTCTTCTTCAATTCTTCTTCAGGTCTTCTTCAAAGTTTCTTCTTCTGTTCTTCCTCACAGTTTCTTGTTCAAATCTTCTTCATAAATTTTTATTCAATTCTTCTTCTAGGATTCTTTTCAGTTTCTTATTCAGAACTTCTTTGCAGTTTTTTCTTCAAGGATTCATTTTCAACTCTTCTTCACAGATTCTTCTTCAAATCTTCTTTATAGATTCATTTTCAATTCTTCTTCATTCTTCAATTTCTTCATTCATTCTTCTTCTTCAATTTCTTCAATTCTTCTTCATGCATTCTTCTTCACGGATTCTTCATCAGTTCTTCTTCATGGATTCTTCTCCAATTGTTGTTCACAGATTCTTCTTCAATTCTTCTTCATAGATTCATTTTCAATTCTTCTTCAGGGATTCTCTAATGGATCTTCTTCTTCTTCTTCAATTCTTCTTCAGTTCTTCTTCATTCTTCTTCATGCGTTCTTCTGCATGGATTCTTCTTCAATTCTTTCTTCATAGGATTCTTTATCATTTCTTTTCAATTCTTCTTCTTCAATTCTTCTTCAGGTTCTTCTTCAATTCTTCTTCATGCATTCTTCTGCATGGATTCTTCTCAATTGTTGTTCAAAATTCTTCTTCTTCTTCATAGATTCATTTTCAATTCTTCAAATCTTCTTCATAATTCTGTATCATGGATTTTTTCAATTCTTCTTCTTCAATTCTTCTTCAGGGGAATTCTTCTTCAATTCTTCTTCATGGATTCTTCATTTGTTCAACTTCTTCTTCTAAATTCTTCTTCATAGATTCATTTTCAATTCTTCTTCAGGGATTCTCTTCTTTCAATTCTTCTTCTTCAATTCTTCTTCATTCTTCTTCAATTCTTCTTCATGCACTCTTCTGCATGGATTCTTCTCAATTGTTGTTCTATTCTGCTTAAATTCTCCTTTTCAATTCTTCTTCAGGGATTCTCTTTCATGGATTCTTTTCAATTCTTCTTCTTCAATTCTTCTTCAGTTCTTCTTCTTCTTCATGCATTCTTCTGATTCTTCTTCTCCAATTGTTGTTCACAGATTCTGCTTAAATTCTTCTTCTTCATTTTCAATTCTTCTTCAGGATTCTCTATCATGGATTCTTTTCAATTCTTCTTCTTCAATTCTTCTTCAGGGATTCTTCTTCAATTCTTCTTCATGCATTCTTCTGCATGGATTCTTCTCAATTGTTGTTCACAGATTCTTCTTCTTCATAGATTCTTTTCAATTCTTCTTCAGGATTCTTTATCATGGATTTTTCTTCTTCTTCTTCTTCTTCTTCTTCAATTCTTCTTCATGCATTCTTCTGCATGGATTCTTCTCAATTGTTGTTCATTTCTGCTTAAATTCTTTCTTTTCAATTCTTCTTCAGGATTCTTTATTTTTTTCTTCAATTCTTCTTCTTCTTCTTCAGGGATTCTTCTTCAATTCTTCTTCATGCATTCTTCTGGAGATTCTTCTCAATTGTTGTTCACAGATTCTTCTTCTTCATAGATTCATTTTCAATTCTTCTTCAGGGATTCTTTATCATGGATTTTTCCATTCATTCTTCTTCAATTCTTCTTCAGGGATTCTTCTTCAATTCTTCTTCATGCATTCTTCTGCATGGATTCTTCTCCAATTGTTGTTCACAGATTCTGCTTAAATTCTTCTTCATAGATTCATTTTCAATTCTTCTTCAGGGATTCTCTATCATTTCTTTTCTTCTTCTTCAATTCTTCTTCAGGAATTCTTCTTCTTCTTCATGCATTCTTCTGCATGGATTTTCTCTTGTTGTTCAGATTCTGCTTAAATTCTTCTTCATAGATTCATTTTCAATTCTTCTTCTTCTCTATCATGGATTCTTTTTCAATTCTTCTTCAATTCTTCTTCAGCTTCTTCATTCTTCTTCATGCATTCTTCTGCATGGATTCTTCTCCAATTGTTGTTCACAGATTCTGCTTAAATTCTTCTTCATAGATTCATTTTCAATTCTTCTTCAGGGATTCTTTATCATGGATTTTTCTTCAATTCTTCTTCTTCAATTCTTCTTCAGGGATTCTTCTTCAATTCTTCTTCATGCATTCTTCTGCATGGATTCTTCTCCAATTGTTGTTCACAGATTCTGCTTAAATTCTTCTTTCATTTTCAATTCTTCTTCAGGATTTATCATGGATTTTTTCTTCTTCTTCTTCAATTCTTCTTCAGGGATTCTTCTTCATTCTTCTTCATGCATTCTTCTGATTCTTCTCAATTGTTGTTCAATTCTGCTTAAATTCTTCTTCATAGATTCATTTTCAATTCTTCTTCAGGGATTCTCTATCATGGATTCTTTTTCAATTCTTCTTCTTCAATTCTTCTTCAGGGATTCTTCTTCAATTCTTCTTCATGCATTCTTCTGCATGGATTCTTCTCCAATTGTTGTTCACAGATTCTGCTTAAATTCTTCTTCATAGATTCATTTTCAATTCTTCTTTAAGTATTCTCTATCATGGATTTTTCTTCAATTCTTCTTCTTCAATTCTTCTTCAGGGATTCTTCTTCAATTCTTCTTCATGCATTCTTCTGCATGGATTCTTCTCCAATTGTTGTTCACAGATTCTGCTTAAATTCTCCTTCATAGATTCATTTTCAATTCTTCTTCAGGGATTCTCTATCATGGATTCTTCTTCAATTCTTCTTTAAGGATTCGTTTTCCACTCTTCTTCACAGATACTTCTTCAATTCTTCTTCATCTCTGCTATTTCAGTTCTTCTTTTAGACTTCTTTATTCACTTTCTTTTAGGACGTTTCTTTAATTCTTCTTCAAGGATTCTTCTTCATTACCTCTTCTTGACATTTTCCTCAATTACTATCTATGCTTCATTAATTCTTCACCTGCTCCTTGTCTTTAATTCTCCTTCCTGTCGTCTTTCTTTAATTCTTATTCTAGAGTTTTTCTTCATTTCTTTGTCTATGATCTCTAATTCTGCCATCTTTCTTCATCAGTGCTTCATCTTATTTCTTCTTTTAATTCTTTTTCATTTTTTTCTTCCTTCTTTATTGTGTTTTCTCCATTGTTTCCTCTTCCCCTTTCTCTTCTACTCTTTAACTTTCTCTTCTTCCCTGACCTCTTCTTCACCTCATCCGTTTCCAGAAACTATTTTCATTTGACTTTTCCTCTATTTCTCTAGTCTTTTTCCTTTATCTTATCATTCATCTTCTTCTTCTCCCATCTCAAAATCAATTCTCCTATATTCTTCATCTTCCTCCCAACCTTTCTCCATCTCCTCTCCCTCAATCTTTTGTTTCTCTTTCTTCACCCCAACGTCTTTCTTCTCTTCTCCACAATAAACATGCAGCCCTTCTTCTTTTCTTTCTTTTGTCAACAACATGTTACTACACACCAACCACCCTCACCTTTCCTCACCCCCTCCTCTATGAAGAATATTATTCCAACAAACCATATTAGTTGCTGAAGAAAATTTAACTCTCCCAACTTATGCTTTTCCCCTTCCATCTCCGCGTTCACCTGTCACCCTTCTGATTGGTTTATCCCACCCCACTACTTAAATGTATCTATTACAAACAGACTGACAGGTCTCCTTTCCTGTTAGCAAGTATAAGAAATGTACAGAAGAAATGAGGAACTTGCTGAAGCCAGAGTACTTAACTAAATAATCAACTATGTGGTATTTTAGGGTTGATTTGGGCATCAGCAGCTGGCCCACCAGTTTGCCATAGATACAAAGAACATAATGGATGGAATATGTATGTATATACATAAATGTATATATATGTGTGTAATTAGGTGGCATTTTTTCATTCATACATGTTTCATTAAATAATATAGACAAGTGTTGGCTATTTATTTTATGTAAATTCTTTTCATAACATCTGATAAGCTTTAATAACATTATCATTAAACAAAGAAAAAAACAATATTGATACATATTTTTAATCCAATCTAAGCTTTCGGCTTACATAAAGCCATTATCAAAGATGTCAATTACTGTACAATATATTAAGCAATATACGGACAAGACAGTGATGATAGTCTGTTATTGTTTACATGGATGATTTTCAAGCAACAATAAACACGTGCATATAAGACGCTAGAAGCGAAAATCGCACCGCAGCTCATGACGCCACACATGACCACGTGAGAGTGAATTTGAGAAGTATATCTATGTATGTATGCATATAGAGATAAGTGTGGCATTTTTTAAGTCAAAAACCAAACCATAACAATATGATTACAATTTAAACAAAATTCATTTATTAAAAAATATTTATTGAATATTACTTGCTCACTTTTGTCTTACTAGATTTTGAATTAGGACATTTTGTGCCCTTCACATGTTTTGACTGACCTTTTAAACACCTGCTGAATATTCATGAAGGTTCTCAAGTTTAAAAGCCTTGATAAACCAATGGCATCTTTACTCTTGTATATAAACACGTGCAACAAAATAAATCCTACATTTGCCTTGATAAAGTCCCTCAGGGATGAAACACATGAGATAAGAATAGTTCTTGCTTTTGTTTTTTATTCATTTTGTTCTTTTACAGATATACTTTATCTGAAAATAATTTACAGATATATATATACATATATATATATCAAGCACATTCATGGTAATTTTTCTGGTGTTTTTTGTTCTTTAAAATAATTGTCAATTTACAGCATTTTCATATTGCCTGTATGGGCATTCTTGCACCCACTAGTGAGTTTAGTTTGGTTGATGTCTGCTTAGTATAGATGTATCAACTACACTTTTAAAATTTTGGACTTGCCTGATGTTGTGGTGTCCTCCCTCTAAAGAGTCTATGTTAGACTCTTCTGCCTACTATAAGATTAGTAGGACAGAAGGCTTTGGGGAACAGTGAATAGATTAAGATGTTGTGACCAAGTAAATGGTTAAGTAATAACAAAAAAACAGGTTTGCATATATATTGTATATTAAACAGTAAGTACACCAGAAGCGTATTACACGACTAGTAAGAGTTTATCAAATGAGCCATAGCTCCATCCATTCACTGTTCACTGTTCTCCGAAGCCTTCTCTCCAACTAATCTTATAGTATGTGGAAGAGTCTAACATAGACATCACAACACCTGAGGGATATAAATGTCTATTTTCAGCCATGATTGTTGTCGACCGTCTGATGATTGTGAAACTTTTAGTTGTGGTCGGCCACTGTTCACTGGAAATTTAATTAAAATATACACACCCACAACTTCCCCTCCATATATATATATACAGTAGCGTCCAAAACTAAGGGACAAAATTTTAAAACCTAATATTTGTTAGAAATAACAACTGTGAAAAGCTGAAATTTTGACAACTGGTAGTCGTTATCATCCATAATAATTAAAATTTGAATCATTTGCATTTATTTATTTATTTTTTTTCAAATTTGGAACGTCCAAAAGTATAGGACAAAATTGAGAAAAACAATGTAAACAGCAAAAAACAATAAAATACATGTTCAATATTTAGTAAATGAGCCCTTTCTCAATGACAGCTGCATCTTCGACTACAAGAACGAATCAGTTCTTGACAATCCTCGATACTAATTTTAGACCATTCTTCTTGAAGCTTCACCCCACAAATCCTCCGTGTTAGTGGGATTCTTTCCATGGCACTCCTAAGGTCTTCCAAAGATTTTCTATTGGTTTAAGTCAGGACTTTGCGGTGGCCAATCCATATTTTTCCAAATCTTGCTCGCTAAGGTAACTCATTACCACCTTTGCCTTGTGACATGGAGCATTATCTTGCATAAAAGGTAGTCCTATCGAAACCTGAATTCTGTATGAAAACATGATCCTGAACAATGTTTTTATAGATCTGCGCGTTTACACGTTTGTAACCGGACAATGAGGCGTTGTACCTTGGCTAGAAAACATTCCAAATACCATGACGGCTTTCCCCCCAAACTTGACAGTTTTCTTAGTACACTTTGCACATAATCTTTTTACCAATACGTCTCTTTACATTGTTTTTCCATCATTTCCAAATAAATTAAACTGTTTCATCACTGAAAATACTTTTGTAATTTTCATATGTCCAAGAAATACCTTTTTTAAACTCTAATCTCTTCTTATTCTTTCAAAGAACAAGAAGGTTTCTTCCTGGGGTTCGATTAAACAGCCCTATTTTTTTTGGACATATACAAACATTGGGTCTTGACACATTAACACATTTATTCATAACCCTTTTAATTTCTGTACCTTTGACTTTAAAATTATTTGGAAATGATGGAAAAACAATCTTCTCTTGCCGATGTTGCGGATTTGCCGGTTTTAAAAGACTAACTATTTTGCCAGTATCATTGTAGAAAACCCTGTCACTCTTGGAACGCGGGAGCGTCAAATCTCTCTAATGGAATGTTTTCTTGTGTAGCTTCACAATAATTGTCTCTTGTAATCAAGTTTTGGCGTTTCGCCATGGTGCCTCTGATGCAACGTTTACAAATGACTAAGTAAAACATTGTTTAAAATCAAAAATTTGAATATAACATACTGTTTACATTGTTTTCTCAATTTTGTCCCTTTACTTTTGGATAATCCCTTTTGAAAATAAATAAATAATTGTTATAATTCTTTTCTATCCTTTGCAAATGATTCAAATTTTAGTATGTTATTATGGATGATAACGACACCGCAAATTTCAGTTTTCACAGAAACCCTAACAAAATTCGTTTAAGATTTTGTCTCTTGTATTTTTGGACGTTAAAGTATATATATATATATATATATATATATATATATGGTATATAAGGATTAAATTTTGATAAAATAATTTAAATACAGATATATTAATTTACACTAAATTTTTTTTAATTTAAAGAAAATTATCCAACGGCTCATGGGTAGATTCTTCTTGTGTGCTAATACAGCCAGGTTTCAATCCTAAGATGTGGACATCTAGCCACATTAAGAGCTTGATACAGTGAAACAGACTGTCAGTGGATAATATATATGCTCCTGAAAAATTATTTTGGTTGAGTTCTCATGTATTTTTATTGTTTTTTAAACAGTGACTGTTACTGCTTCTAATTTTACTTTTTGATTGTATGTGTGTGTGTTTGTGTGTGTCCAAATTTATAAAATAAATAAATATATATATATTATAATTCTTTTCTGTCCTGTGTGTGTGTGTGTCAAATTTAGTATGTTAGTAGTAAATGATAAAACTACCAGTTGTCAAATCCTGTCAAATTATTTGAGATTACTAACTAGTAATTAATATTTTTGTGGTAATTTTGTCCCATAGTTTAGACATTTTTTATAAAATTGAAAATTTCTGACATTATAAAATAGAGAAATACTAAATGTAAAACAATTTATTATTTTCTTACTCTCCACAATTCCTGCCCTACCCTCCCTTAGATCTTACTCTCATCTTTTGAAAGTACATCAATATTGAAATCCCCCCCACACACACACACTCCTACATATACAGAAATGCACTCACATCAATCTCACTATCTCGAACTTCATCCACCTTCCTGTTACTTAAGAAAAATTCTAGAACTTTTTTTTCTTTAATCATTTCACCCCAAGCAAGATGGGAATTCCACAAATACGAAGAGAGTGAAAGTGAGAGAAAAGAATGAGTGTAGGAAAGAACAAAAGATGAACTGGATTCAAGAAGATAGAGGATGGCGATTGATATTGCGTTTAAATTTTTGAATATTATAGCTATCAGGGAAGCAAGTAAACATAAGGAAGTTCCACAGGCAAGAGGTGCGAGAAAATAAACTGTTGCAGTAGAATTGGTGGTTGCATTTAGATATTCCAACAGTAAAATGGTGGGACCTAGATGTCAATCTAGTAGGGATGCTTAAATTCATGTAGTCAGGGTACCAGGAGAAAAAGCTTGTCAGAGGAGTTGCCATGAAAATATTTGTAGAAAAGACAGAGGGAAGCCATGTCATGTCAGTAAGAAAGTGACTGGATGACAAGATGATTGGTCAGCATCAATCACATTACACATCCTTCTTTGGATTTTGTCCCAAATCTTGAGATGTACAGCAGTAACACCAGACCAGATGTGGCAACATTGTTCCTATTGGTGATGATGATGATATGGTAATGGTGTTTGTGATGGTGATGATGATGGTGATGTTGTGTGTGGTGGTGATGCTGGCAGTGCTGGTGATGACGACAATGATGATGATGATGATGATCAAGTAAACAGAAGGGAGTTCCACAGGTGGGAAGTGCGAGAAAAACTGTTGGAGTAGAAGTGACAGTTGCACTTAGCAATTTCAACTGTAAACCAGTGAGACCTAAATGCCAATCCAGTGGCACATTTAAATTCATGTAGTTGGGACACCAGCAAAAAAATAGTTCATCAGAGCAGTTGCCATGAAAATATTTGGTCAGAATTGATTACATTACAGATCCTTCTCAAGAGTCTCGAGATAAATAGCAGGAGGACCAGACCAGATATGGCAGCAGTAT